GATTTTCTAATTAACGTTTCAGTTGGCGATGATGGAGCATCCGCACACTGCGTCTTTCCACCCCCCCCCCTCCCCCCTCTGCCTCAACTCTCGTTTGGTCTTTCTTTTTTTTTTTTTTTTTTAATGTAGCCCACGGCCTTTTCCCTTTTGCTTCGAATTCGCCCTCTGGTTTGTGAGCGTACGTATAATTTTTGCCGATCATATTAAGGATATTTTTCTCCCCCATCTCGAAATTTTTCAAAACGAACAATCCGTTTCGCGAGATAATATTTCTTTTACAAATATATATATATATATAGATATATAAAAGTTTATATGTATATTGAACTCCCTTCTATTAATAATTATCATTTTGAATTTTAAAAAAATTTCATTATTATTAAGAAAGTCTTAGATTTTTATAATCAAAAGTGGAAACGTGCATCATTTTCTGTAGACGCAATTTCGCGGGTTATATACAAGTACCTTTGAACATTAGTGAGGAGAGGGGGGGGGGGCTTCTCAACGAAAAAGGTAGAGGTTTTCATCAGATATTTCACCAGTTTCCATATATATATATATATATATATATTTTTTATTCTACTTGAAACTTACGAAATGAATATCTAACGATATTGGCTCAACTCCCGAGTAATCCGCAAACTACTCATATCCGGCCCATACGAACATTTTTCCCTCCCCACCTCTTTCTCTCGCTCTTTTTTTTTTTTTTTTTTCTCTCAGTATATATCTCATCACGATTCATTACATACTTAAATATCAATGTTCTTTTTAAATACTCGTATTGAAAAAAGGGATATTTTATCCTCTCTAAATCTGAATTAGTCACTAAAGTGATTTTTCAAAAAAAATTTGTTTTACATTTATTATTTGAATGAATAAAAAAAAAAATCTTTATCTAGAACAGCGATATAAATTTTACTAAAAGAGAGAAAGTTTTTCTCTATCCTAGAGAAATATATTCGCTATTCCAGGGAAAACTTATCGTTTTTCCAAGTTTAAGATTTTTAGTAACGAAAATAAAATTTCTTAACTGTTGAATATTTTGTGATTCGTAAAATATCGGTGAAGAGAATCTGTTATAATAACACGAGAGAGAGAGAGAGACTGTATATTACTATTTAATTAATCTATAGTCCGAAGCCTAATCGGCTTTATGACACGCGGCGCCCAAACCCCTCCCCCCCCTCGCGAGGTGTTGTTCCTATTATATATACAGTATTCGAATACGAATACGTTTTGGTGTATTTGTCGACATTTTATTGTCGAGACATTGCGCACTCTACTTCTTATCGTTTAATTATCTGCAAATCTTCCTATCAGAGGACAAATATATGGTAATATCGTGTATAAACACAGTTACCAATATGGCGATCATTTTTTTTTTCTTCTTTTACAATAATTTGTTATCTAATCTTCCCACTCATTAATTTCCTCTTCTTATATATAATTATTTTTGCCGATAATAGAATTTATTTTCGTTTTTGAAATACATACATACATATATATATATATATGTATGTATTCTATGTTCTATGTTTGTTTTTCTCGACAAAAGTTATTCTCAATTTATAATTTGAATCGTAAATCAAATTTACAAATTCCAGTCGACTAGTTGTGTATATATAACGTTGACGACGTGGAACCGCAAAATTTTCTAATTTTGTGCGCGGCAAGTATCGCACGGCCCATTAGAGAAACGAAATTACCTTAGCGACTATCTCCAGCTTTTCTTCTTGGTCTCTGTTCTCTTCTTCTTCTTCTTCGTCTTCTTCTTCTTCTTTAGAGAGGATCGACCTGCAAATTAGCCGTGCCTTTTCAAAAGCGGAATCGCTTTTTCGTGGTATCATGGACGATATTCTTGAGGGGTAAAGAGAAAGAGAAACAGAGGCTTCAGCGAGGAGAGATGAAAGAGAGATTACTCGGTGCCAACGCAAATACGCATGGCGAGTGTTTCAAAACACGTTGGCTAATGTACCAACCACACGGGGGATCAAGACTTCTTATTTTTTTTATTAGATCTTATGTCGAATTTTTTTCTCTTCTCAACAAAAATGATTTTTTTTTTTTTTTTTAAATGAACGGAACCGGAAGGAATCACTATCAAATTTCCCTACTTGGAACTTTATTTTTTATCGAATGTTGAGCGATTACCAACCCACTTCCCATCCGGAAAGGTTATATTGGGTCATTTATTATCTTATTGTTTTTCGAGAAAAAAAATTATTTACAGAAAAATAAAATTGATTTTTCATTTAACGCTGAGTGAGAAAAAAAAACAGTTTTTCATTGGAAAATCATTATCAGTATATAAACGTAGTACAAATAACCATTAAACTTGAGCGGATGAGGCATCGAGAACAATAAGAAATAACGACAGGCTGCGAAAATTCACTTAAGCGCACTGAATTTCCAATAAAGACATTATCCGTGAAGCAAATTCTTATCCGTTCAACCGTCCTGTTTCTTCGACATCTATATAGTGGAGAGGAGGGTAAAATAAGAAGAAGTAGTAGAAGGGGTATTCGAAAGAGGTTGGGAAGGTTCGACGATTATCGGCTTCGTGGATTACAACAGGCTGATGCTTTGAGCAAACGATTTTCTTTTGGGGGGGTAAAAGCGACAAGGAAAGGGGGATAAGAGGAAAGAGAGAGAGAGAGAGAAGTGAAAGAGAAATAGAGCTATTATTGGCTCTAAGGAGAATACTTATTGAACTCTTAGCGCCGTTTTTATCACTCCTTTCCCGCGATTCAAGTGTTTTTGGCTTTGTTTAAGGAGTCAAAGTGGCCCTTCTTTTTCAATCCCTCACCTCTTGGTTTTTCTCCCCTAGAAACTTTTCTTCTCCCCCCCATCTCTCTTTTTGTACCGCTTACTTTATCAAAATCATTTCCTTTTGAAATTCCATAACAGTACCTCTTTTTTTTTTTTTAACCAAAAATTTACTTGAAACAGCGAAAGATTTAACTGAAACAAGTAAAACTTTTGCTACTATAGCGAAATGTTTCGCTGTTACAAGTAAATTTTTTTTTTGTTAACTCAATAAATATACTATCGACTACTAAAAAAAAAAAAATCCCTATAACTTTCGAAATTATAAAGAGGCAAGGAGAAGACGTCGCATTCCGTCGTCTTAACGGGCCGTTCGGTCTGAAAGTTTCAAATGCCTCGGCTAAATATACATTTCCATCGCATCGCGACTTCGACTTTACGCTAAAGATTAATGTCTCTTTCTCTCTTTAAAAAAAAAAAAAAAAATTATTTCCATAAATAAAATTTTTTAAAAAATATTATTTCAATATAAAAAACATTCCCTTAAGTGTTTAAAAAAAAAAAAATGTTTCACTTTATATGAGGATAATTTTTATTTCCCAACATCAAAGCAAAAAAATTGTGTGTGTGTGTGTATATATCACTCTCGGTAAATGCACGACTTTCACTCATCATCTATCGGGAATAAATTCATAGGAATAAAGATTCTCAACGCGCCGTTTTTTTCCCGTGGAAGCGATTATCACCATTAAAAACGAAAAAAAAAATTCTGAATACCTTTCAATTCAACCGCATCGATATGATGTTGCATTACTGGAAAAAAAATTGAAACTAAAATCGACGTGTATGCATCACTTCTTCATTTTTTTTTTTATCAGCAAAGGTTCGCTCTCTCTTTTATTCAAAATTATATATGCGCTTTTCTGATATTGCTGTTTGCCCTAACCCCTTAAAAACACACTTAAAAATGTAAATAGCGAGTCATTTACTTTGATTTGTAAAGCGTCTGCGCATTTTTTTTTTTTTTTTTTGGAATCAATATTTACTGCTTCTATACAGAAAATAGATTTCTTTGATTAAAAGAAAATTTTCCCATTTGGAAAGATTCCCCGGAAAGTGCCCCCTGGAGGTTCTATCAGAATTCCGACGGAACTTCCGACGGAGTTCCGTCGGAATTCCATCGAAGTTCCAAAGAATTTCCGTTGGGATTCCGACGGAATTAGGACTCTAAAAATTTTGAAAAAAAAATTAATCGGAACTCCGTCGGAATCCCATCGGAAATTCTTTGGAACTCCGATGGAATTTCGACGGAATTACGTTGAAAGTTCCGGCGGAATTCTGATAGAACCTCCAGGGGGCACTTTCCGGGGAATCTTTCCAAGTGGGACTCTAAAAATTTTGAAAAAATTAATCGGAATCCCATTGGAAATTCTTTGGAACTCCGATGGAATTCCGACGGAATTACGTTGGAAGTTCCGGAGGAATTCTAATAGAACCTCCAGGGGGCACTTTCCGGGGAATCTTTCCAAGTGGGACTCAAAAAATTTTTAAAAAATTTATCGAAATTTCGTCGGAATCCCATCGGAAATTCTTTGGAACTCCGATGGAATTCCGACGGAATTACGTCAGAATTCTGATAGAACCTCCAGGGGGCACTTTCCGGGGAATCTTTCCAAGTGGGACTCTAAAAATTTGGAAAAAAATTAATCCGGAATTCCGTCGGAATCCCATCGGAAATTCTTTGGAACTCCGATGGAATTCCGACGGAATTACGTTGGAAGTTCCGGCGGTATTCTAATAGAACCTCCAGGGGGCCCTTTCCGGGGAATCTTTCCAAGTGGGACTCTAAAAATTTTGAAAAAATTAATCGGAATCCCATCGGAAATTCTTTGGAACTCCGATGGAATTCCGACGGAATTACGTCGGAATTCTGATAGAACCTCCATGGGGCATTTTCCGGGGAATCTTTCCAAGTGGGACTCTAAAAATTTTAAAAAAAATTAATCGGAATTCCGTCGGAATTCCATCGGAAATTCTTTTGAACTTCGATGGAATTCCGTCGGAATTACGTTGGAAGTTCTGGCGGAATTCCGATAGAACCTCCAGGGGGCAATTTCCGGATAATCTTTCCAAGTGGGTATTATTTATTTCAAACAAATTGTTTTCTTTAAATCAAAGAAATCATTTCACAGTGTGTATACATTTATTAAATAAAAAATTAATATACTGACCTCTTTGTCCTTTGTTTGAAGTTCTTGTTCAATGTTACTGTTTGGCGTCCTCCTTGGATTACTGGAATCATGACTTTGTTCGATTCCTTGAGGATTTTGGGATAAATTTTGTCCCTCAGTCTTGGAATTTCCATCGTTCACTGCGGCAAGTTGCTCCTTTAATGCAGTGACCTCCTTTTCAGCCAAGCTTGCTTTCTGTAAACAAAAAAAAAAATTCCCAAAAAAATTAATATTTGACAAAAAACTCTATAACAGAAAAATTAAGATTTTATTTAAATCAAACAAAGAGGTTGCAATAATTATTTTAGATTGAAATCAATTTCAGTTTTAAAAAAAACTGAAACTAACAGATTATTTAAGTCTTTAAAGTTTACGGCCCATTCGGCGCCGATATTCTTGAAAAAAAAAAAAAAACCCAATGACGAACGGAAATAAACACCAACCTATCAAAGTTCTCTGGTTATGTGGTGGTTAACGATCGTAACCGGTCGGTTGACCACTTTAAACAACGCGCTCACCTAACAACTCTGTAAATTTTCCCCTAATATCAGAACCGATCGTTAAACTATTTAATAGGAGTTTCACGCGCGCCTTGTATATAAGACGCTATGAAAATCAATCAATTTCGTCTCGCGCCTATATTCAAATACCAAAAATAGAAATTTAAATTGAATGCCCCTAAAAATATAGAATTATATAGAAAAAAAAAAAAATTTGTGAAAAAAAAGAAAGAAAAAAAAAAAAAGAAAATTGATAAAGTAGAAAATATATTCTATTGTATGATTCTTCTCTTATACAATTCAGTTTTGTAAAAAGAAGCATGGGAAAAAAAAGAGAAAAAGAGAGAAAGACAAGGGCGATAGGCCAGTACCGAAGGTTGGGATTACCTTTTTAAACTTTCCCCATAAAGTATCTAATAAATATTGCTCGCGGGCTCTCGTTGTTCTGCTCGGTCGGATATTAATTATAGATGCTTTTATATTCAAAGTAGCTTCCTATCTCCCTGTGTCCTATACCTTCTCTCATTTTCTTTTTTTTTCTTTCTCTTTCTTTTCGTCTTTCATACAAGTTTACAATTATTATATAAAATTCATTTATTCGAATGGTAAAGTAAAAAAACTTATACCTAATGACTTGATATATTTTATGCGTCAATATGATGATTCGTGTAAAATGGACACGATTGGCAAATGAAGATAGGAAGTGAATGGGAAGATCACAGAAGAGAGAACGAGAGAGAGAGAGAGAGAATAACAACGTCTAGTAATGACCCATTGTTTCCTGCAAAAACCTTGACGATGTTATCGATAATTACGAAATGATATGGGAAGCATAAATACATATCCGCGCGCGGTCGTTAATTCGCGGCTGCTCTAATGACGGAGACGGATACGTATCGATAGTCAACAATTCACATCCGGTTTATTTGTCACGTGGCAAAAAAAAATTAGCTTATAACTATTTATACGAGAATTATGAAAAATATTTCAAGGTTTTCTTATAGGTTATATTGTAAAAATGCCAACATAACCTAAAATTAGTTTAACCTTTCTTGTCACAAAACAATTGTATTTTTAAAATAATGATATTCAGAATATATTATATGAATTGATTTATAACAATTTTGCGATTGATGAGATCAAACACAGCGGCAACGAAGTTTGAGTCTGGCCGGACGATATTTTACTGCCGAATTCGTAATTACTTTAATTGGCTCCAGATGCTAATTAATGACCTAAACATATGCCGCGCTATATAGATCAAACCGATAGGAACTTATGGCGTCACGAGGAGAAAGGGATTGGGGTGAGAACGCATGTGTTTGTCATTACAGTGAGACGATGCCTATCGAAGCTAAAGAAACTGACTCAATTTGAATTCTATGATCGATTAATTACATAACCTATATATATATATATTTTATGACAAGAAAAGAACAAGTCACTAATTAGTCATTAAACTAAATTATCTAGTCTTCAGAAACTGAAATTAGTTTAATAAAAGGGTTCTATAATATGTAATAGAAAAATGTCTTAAATTTTTTTTTTATATATATCTTTTTTTGAATTGTGGCGATGGATAACTAAGGTTTCGTGACGCGAGTCATTAGGGACGAACTTTTACACGAGTCTAACGACCAGAGCGAAGGTCGAATGGAGAATGGAAGCAAGCACCTATATCATTAGTATGGCTACTGCCTTTTGATCCATACGATCATCGAAGATCGATTATCATTTTTCTTTTTTTTTTAAAGGCCCCTGAGGTCATTATTGCCCGTATATACTCACAATAAGTAATATCGACGAATTTCGTCTCGCTTCTTCTTCCTCTTCTGTATCATCAAATTGATGATTATATATATATAGTATTTGCCGCCAAGGTCCCATATATATATGACCCGTATCGATAGGTATTTATCGATTCGATTCGGAGATCAAGATTTCTTTCTTCAATATCAAATATAATATTCGATAAATTATTCTTAAAATTATATTTTTTTTTACAAAAATGTGTGAAATTTTTTTTTTTGAAAGATTGCAGTTTTTAGAGATCAGATTTTTTTTTGGAAAGTAGGATGGAATTAGAAAAAAAAGAAGCTTTTGATTTCTCTCTTTCTTCGAGGGGGGTTTTTCTTTCTCTTTTGTATTCTTTTCTCAAGTTAAAAGTCCACACGTGTGATAGCTCATGTACGGACATAAATGCCAGTATTAAGCACCGTTCACACGTGTGTATTTTACCCGCGTTAGAGCGGCATTCGAGTAACAGCTGTGGCATTATATATACGTATAGCAGTCGTGCCCCGTCAAACGTGGAACATTCTTTGTGCAACCCAAGAAGCGATTCTAGATCTCTTCTTCTTTCTTCCTCTTCGTCATTCTTTTCTCTCTCTCTCTCTCTTTCTCTCTCTTTACACTTCTCCCTCTGTGTTTTGCTTCATTTTTTTTTCCCCCATCATTCGCAACTTCAGTTTCTCCTTATGTCTCACACTCGAAAATCCTTTTTCGTCGATCTATAATCGCAACACAAACATACCGGGCACCGCAAACATTAGAAAGTAAACTTTTTTGCTTGTTAGAAGCTCTCATTGAAATTACAGTGTATTCCTTTAAGACATTCGTTAGTGAGGAAAAAAAAAGAGTCGATATACGATCAACACACTCGTTGAGAAAAGTAAATAGACTGGGAATTTTATTTTAAAAAGCGAGCTCCATTTTTAAGTAATGACAATTTATTAGAATTGATTAATTCTGGGAATTTTTGTTAATACTATTTTATAATTACCACTTGGAAAGATTCCGCCCCGGAAAGTGCCCCCTGGAGGTTCTATCAGAATTCCGCCGGAATTTCCAAACCCAATTCCGTCGGAATTCCATCGGAGTTCCAAAGAATTTCCAATGGGATTCGAACGGAATTAGGACTCTTAGAATTTTGAAAAAAATTAATCGGAATTCCGTCGGAATTCCATCGCAGTTTTATCGGAGTCCCAAAGAATTTCCGATGGAATTCCGACGGAATTCCGATTAATTTTTTTTCAAAATTCTTAAAGTCCTAATTCCGTTGGGATCCCATCGGAAATTCTTTGGAACTCCGATGGAACTCCGATGGAATTCCGACGGAATTACGTTGGAAGTTCCGGCGGAATTACGTTGGAAGTTCCGGCGGAATTCTAATAGAACCTTCAGGGGGCACTTTCCGGGGAATCTTTCCAAGAGGGACTCTAAAAATTTTGAAAAAATTAATCGGAATTCCGTCGGAATTACATCGGAGTTCCATCGGAGTTCCAAAGAATTTCCGATGAGATTCCGACGGAATTCCGATTAATTTTTTTTCAAAATTCTTAGAGTCCTAATTCCGTTGGAATCCCATCGGAAATTCTTTGGAACTCCGATGGAATTCCGACGGAATTACGTTGGAAGTTCCGGCGGAATTCTAATAGAGCCTCCAGGGGGCACTTTCCGGGGAATCTTTCCAACTAACAACTTTAGTAAGACAACTGATAACTTTGAAAGCAATACACACATCAAGAAATTGATAAAAGAATAAAGAAATGTGACAACTTTACTGCAAAAAATACTCGAAACTCTATATATTCTAAAAGTTTAATTAAGCAGTGAATTAATATGTTCCCAAATGTCAGGAAAGAAAATGAAAAAAAGACAATGTATGTGCAAAAAAATACTTTACAGTACTAATTCACAAAAGACAAGAATAGAAAATCGCCTTGACATTTCTTCACCTTTCATCTCTTTCTAAAAAAAAAGCTATATATAAAGAACGAAGTGTCGAGAGAGCATATATATATATATAAAAAATATAAAGAGAAAGAAGATCGTGTCATGTTTCCCTTCTTGACGATTCGTGTATGTATATATGTTATATGCTCCAAGTGTTTTCCAAGCCGCATATTGCAGTGTCTAGAGGGCTATAGGGCCGGTCGATATCTTAATAATAAATACAAGAGGGGTTCATTCTGATGGCTGGTTGGTGTGAGATTGAAAAAGGGGAGGTGATTGGAGGACCGAAGGGTGGAAGAGAAGGGGGGGGGGATGGGGATCGGTGAGAAAGATGAGACGCATGGATAGCTCAAAGCTTATGCGAGAAGAAAAAGAGAAGGGCATTACCAGGAAGTATATGAGAGAAGAGGAGGTGATTGTGATAGAGAAGGCGAGAAGATTCGCACCTCGTGGTGTAATGAGAAAATTTGAAATATCGCACACTTCCTCCCACAACCCTCTAAACCCACTTCCCCTCCCAAAAAAAAAGAAGAAGAAAAAAAAAATAACAGCCCCGTAGTCATAACCGACTGATCCACCCTGCCGCTCTTCCCGCATCCCTCGGGAGATTATAAGAGGGCTGTATAAGAATCTCTTCTTCTTCTTCTTCTTTTTTTTCTAACTCCCTCTCCCATTTCGTGGTGAATTCAACAATATTCTCTCATAACCAAACTCCTCAGGGTGTATTTCAATCCAATGGAAATACTAACATTTAAAATCTCATTCCCATATATATATATATATATATATATATCTCATTTAAAAATTTTTGAAGAAAAAAAAGTTGAATTGATTAAAATTTAAAAAAAAAATAATTTCGAAAAATTAACTGTGGCTGAATTTTAAAGTTTCGCTAAGGAAAAAAAATCACCCTCCATCTAGCCTCGAGGTATTTGTTGAAAAAAAAATGAAGAAAAACCC